TTTTACACCAGGTGAGGGAGCGCCCGGGCAGGCGGCCCGCCTTCTCCCCAGGGTAGGTCCCCTTTCCAGGCTTCTTGAATAGAGGTGTGAAGGCCGGGAAGCAGGCCTCCGACTGGAGGAGCTGGGGTCTCAGGATGCACCGGTCTCCTGAGCCCCTGCATTTTCCTGACATGGCCCCTCCCAGGTTGCAGGCTGGTGAGGTCAGGGGAGGGCTGGGACGAGTTGTCTTGGGGGACAAAGATGAGGCAGGCAAAAGACTGTCCCTCCTGCTCTGTGGCCAGAGAGAGGAGCCCAACAGCAGCCCAGGAACAGCCGCAGGTGTGGGTGGCGCCTGGTCCCGGGTCCCGGTTCTGCTCGTGACTCACAGTGGGCTCGGCAGTCTCCCTCCCTCACCTTCTTGGCCCCTTCCCCATCCCTGTCGTGTGAGGCCACTGCCAAAGCTCAAAGTCCCGCAGAGGGCAGAATGCCCAGGTGGGTGCTTCGGACCTGCCAGCCGGGGGCTGGGTGCAGGCGGAACTGGGTTGGGGTGGGGTGAGTGGGACCCCTGAGGCACTGACAGAAGCCCCGGGCTCTGAGCCCAGGCAGGCCGAGCTCCCCACAGTGGGGAGGGCAGGCCAGCCGAGTCGAAGACCAGTGGGAGGGGTGGCCAGACCTTGCCCGTAGAGGGTGGGGGTAGGAAGGCCATGAAAGGGCCCTTCACACTGCCTCGCACAGGGAACCTATCCAGCCTGGAAACCAGAATGATGTGAGAAAACTTGCAGCCACAGCCTGGCAGACAGGAGGCTTCGTGGCTTCAGGGTGGAGGACAGCGACATGCGGGACCTCTGAGTCCTCCTACCGGACTGCTGCGCGCTGGCTGTGGGCCCCAGGGCAGACAAACTTTCTTTGCAGTCACTTGGACCTTCCTACAAATCTGCCTTAAGGCCACCACCGCCTCCCAGTCCCGCCTGTCCATTCAGCCAGTCCTGCAGCGCCCCCTGCTGTCTGAGCAGCGGCTCGAGCTCCCCCTTTGACAAAGGAGGCATTTACGGAATAGCCAAGATTCCCAAGACACCCCCACGTCCGAGACCGTCCCTGCCGACCGCCTCAGGAGGACGTGGACAGCTGTGGGCCCCTTTTCCATCCGCCTCTTCTTTTTGGGCAAAAAGAAAGAAAGAAGCCCTCAAGGAGAAAACTCAAGTGAGGTGGAAGCGAGCTGTGAGCTGTGGGAAGAGGCAGGGCCAGGGGTGCGAGGACAAATCCAGGAAGCCTCCTGGGAGTTTGGAAATCTTCCAGGGAGAAAGGAGAGGTCACCTTTAGAGACCCTGCTACACCACCCAGAAGGAGAAAGGTGGGCGGACATTTCACTTAAAGCTGAGAGAAACTGGACATGCAGCCAAACTGATATTTCTCTTTAAACTAACCAGAGTGTTATGGGCTGATCGTGTTCGGCCCAAATTCATAAGTTGAAGCCCTAACTCCCTGTACCTTTCCAAGCTTCTTGAATAGAGGTGTGAAGGCCGGGGAGCAGGCCTCCGACTGGAGGAGCTGGGGGTCTCAGTATGCACCGGTCTCCTGAGCCCCCGCATCTTCCCGACATGGCCCCTCCCAGGTTGCAGGCTGGTGAGGTCAGGGGAGGGCTGGGACGAGTTTAACTTAAAGAGATAATTAGTTAAAATGAGGCTGTTAGAGTGGGCACTAATCTGATCTGACTGGCGGTGTCCTTGCAAGAAGAGGGAATTTGGACACACAGAGAGACACCAGGGATGCTCCCACACAGGGAGAAAGCGGCCGTCTGCAAGCCAAGGAGAGAGGACTCGGAAGAAACAAAACCCGCCAACTCCTTGGACTTCCGGCAGAGAGACACCAGGGATGCTCCCACACGGAGGAAAGACCGTGTGAGGACACAGGGACAAAGCGGCCGTCTGCAAGCCAAGGAGAGAGGACTGGGAAGAAACAAAACCCGCCAACTCCTTGGACTTCCGGTCTCCAGAAAGGTAAGAAAATAAATTTCCATTGTGTAAGCCACCCACGCACCCCCCGCCGCCACCACCGAGGCTGTGGTATTTTATTATGGCAGCCCCTAGGAAACAAACACACATAGACACACGCACCGGAAAACAATTTATCAACCAATTTCCAAAACAGTGAAAAAATCACACATAGACTTGGGAGGAAGTGAGAGACGCTCGAAAAATAACTGTCCTCGAATATTAACGTGGTAATGATAGAACATGAGGTTCACTGACAGACGGGACAATATGTGGGGGAAAGTGTACGGGAAAAAACAGCATTTCATGAAGTGTTTCCGTTCGTGAGATGTTTGAGCAGGCGGATTGGAGAGAGAAGGCAGGGTGACCCTCCCCCCTGCAGTGTAGACGCCGTTGAGAGTTTAAGGATAGAAATGCATAACGGAAAGATTGGAGCAGTTTTAATAATACTTTTCATTTACAGTTCAGTGACAGGCGTATCAAAGCAAGGATCTCTTCATTTCGTTAAAGTTACCAAAATGTTTTTTTTTTTTTAAACTGTTACTTAATGCAGCTTATTAGGAAAATATGATATTGATTCCCAAATCTGGTAAGTCCGGGACCGAAAAGTTGTAAGCGATGAAAGAGTCCCTGAAGCTGCCTTTTCTGCACCTGAGCGGTGATGGATGGACGGGGAATAATCTGAAACCGGCAGACGTGGTGTGAGTCTCTTGCCCTTGACCAGCTTCAGGCCATGTGCATATTGTCTAATCTCTCTGTGCCTTGCATTCCTCAGCCTGTAGAATGGTTACAATACTCAGGATGCAGGATTCTTTGAAAACATTGATGTCATGCCAGCCTGTGGGTACAAGTGAGGTCCCATTAACACCTGGGTTCCAGTGGCTCAAAGCCCTCACCTCTGCAAAACTTGATCCGCCTTAACAGAGCCTCTCCACCTGTTTGAGGAAGTTCCTGGTTTTCCTGGTGTTGGGGACAGGGGAGTGAATCTTTCTGCCTCCTTGAGGACGGCCCACCAGCAAGATGAGAGAGGTATCCTGTCACTGGCCCTGCCCCATCTACAGAGCCTTCTATGACAAGGGTGTTCCTTGATTCTGCAGGTTTTGTACAGAGTGGGAGAAGGTCCGTCCCTGGACTGAGCTCCATTTGGTTCTGCATCAGGAGGCATCTGTCCTCCCAGAGCCTTCTTCTGTAGGGCGGACTTGCCCCTCGGGCTGGGCCGGGGGGGCGTCATCTGCCTCGCCCTCCAGGACCCCCTTTTCCCCCGGGGGTGCCTGCACTTGCATCCTGTCCTCCTTAAACAAGGAGCGAAGCTCTGACACGTGAACTCTGACCCACAGCCATGTGCCCACTGGGGAAGCCCATGCCCCAGATCCACCCAGGGTCGGTCAATACCATGCGGTAGCAGAAATGGTGGGACTTACAGGTCTTCAATCAATTCTCTGAAAACCTGAAACTAATATGATATTGTATGCCAACTATCATCGAAAAATAAAAAATATTATTTAAAAAATAAATAAATCCTGTCTCTGAACTCCTAGGACCGGACGTGTCTCAGAATTCAGAATTTTTCAGAATGAAGGTCATGTGCGGTCTGTGGTTGGATGTCAGGTCTGGATTCTGGTGGCTTCGGGCCTACAGGCGTAACCACACCCCGCAGAGCCTAGGCAGCCAGTCTGCACCAAGTCGTACGCCCCTTCCCATCTTTCCAGGTCAGATTTTGTCGCTAGATGTGGTAGTGGCAAACTCAGGAAAAATGTTTTCATTTTCAGAGCTTTTTGGAGTTTCGAATGGTGGATAAAGGATTGGGGACCTGCCTTCTCTTCCTTCTGGATGTGGCTGAAAGTCCCTTCCTTCCCCGATGCCCTGCTCTAGGGAGGAGAGGAAAGGCAGAAGCAGAGTACTTACTGTGCGCTCACTGTGCCAGCACGCATCAGGCTTTTTTGCCTGTTAATCCCACTCAGGGCTTGGGTGTGGCTGGGGGCTCAGCCGGGACCACCTGTTCAGGGGAAAGGTCAGCTCTGCCGACAGGGAAGCAGAAAGCAGACAGGCTAATGTGTTTACTCAGCGTCTGGAGCAGGTGGGAGGTCCATCTGCTAATCTCTCCCAGCTGCCACTCCAGGCTGGCACTACGGAAAGGAAAGAGGGGGGCCCTGGAGAGGCTGGGAGGGGCCCAGCAGAGCCCCCCAGGGTCAGTGTCAGATGCGCGGAGCTATCCCCCTCCTCCAAGTGAAGGGGGCTCCCGGGGCAGGGCTAAGTCGGACCTTCCTGCTCTCCCTTCCCTGGCCCCTGGGCTGAGAGGGCATTTCCTTCTGGCATAGTCAGGCAACCATGGAAACCTGCAGCCCCAGGAAACCTGCGGCCCTTCATCTGTTGGCTCCAGGCGGGTGGTTAAGCTGAATGGAACTCGCATGCTTGAGACCCAAGGGGTCGTGCCTCTCCAGGGCGGGGGCATCACATCTGCTTTGAGACGACCACCTTTCCCGAGCAGCTCCCTCCCAGTGCTAAGCCTCGAACATCTGGTTCCCCCAGCCCAAGGAGTCTGGAGATGCCTTTCTTTTCACCCTGGCATTGCCACTGGAAGCCAGAGAGGTGATCGACTCAAGGAATGAGAGGTGGGATCCAGAAAGGGGAAACAATTTATGTTCATTTAGCCAGCCATCCATCCATCCATCCATCCATCCATCCACCTTTTCTTTCTTTCATTCATTCAACCAACATTAATTTAGTCTTCACGATGTGCCCAGTGAAATGTCCCTTACAAAGGAATGCCCATAGCAGCTGACATTAGTAGCTTGTGCCTGGCAGAGCCCTCCTTGTCCTAGGAAATGGCAATTGCTGGTGAAGCTAATGTAAAAGTTGGACAAATTGTCCTCCCCTCTATCGGGGGTGGGGGGCACCTCTAAAAGAAAGAGCCTCTCCACCTACCCCCACATTGTAAAGTAGGGTGTTGATAAAGTTTGTGGGCACAACCACAAAGGCCCATTACATTTGGCCCTGAGCCCCACCAAGCTCCCTGGCTGGGCTCTTCCACTACAAGTCTGTCCCTTTGGGGAGTCCTGGAGGCTTCAGCATGGGCTCTACCACCACGCCCTCTGGCCGTGACCCTGGGGTGCAGGGCAAGTGGACATCATGGATGACCTCTCGGACGGTGACCCGGAAAGTCTTGCTGACAAAGCAGTAGAGGCCGAAGTTGACTGCTGTGTTGAGCATAGCCACCATGTTGGCCACGTCCAAGGCCAGGTGGACCCGCCAGTCCCGGTGGACGGGGGCCACGTACAGGTGGTAGAGCATGACAAAGATCCGGGGTGCCCAAAGGAAGGCGAAGATTGTGGTGACCCCCAGGAGGATGGCTGTGCTCTTGCCCACCTGGGGCCTCGGCCAGCTCCGGCGCCTCCTCTGGAGCCGACGGATGATGGCCGAGTTGGTGATCAAGAAAATGCCACAAGGGATGAAATAGACGGTGAGGCAGTGAGCCCACTTGAGGGCCTCGTCCAGTGCGCTGGGGGGCTCCACGTCCCTCCACACGTCCAGCCACCAGTAGAAGGGGATGCCGGTCAGCAGGGCGGCACCAAGGACAACGGCGATGGCCCGGCGGGTCCGGCCTACAGATGAGACCGTGCGGTGGCGCAGCGGGTGGCACAGGGCGCTGTACCGGTCCACGGTGAGGAGGACAGCGATCCAGACCGAGGCGTGGTTGGCCGCAAACTCCAGGATGTTCGCCGAGCGCACCACGGCCTGGGGCACCTCTCGGGCCAACACAGCTCCCTGCAGCAGGAAGCCCGCGAACACGATGACCACCTGGGTGACAATATCCGAGGCTGTGAGCGCCAGGAGGTAGTGGTAGGAGGGCTTCCTGGTCCTGGCGGCCAGGCGGGCCAGGGCCACTGCGGTCAGGAGGTTGACTGATGGCGACCACGGCCGCAGAAGGGAGAAGTCAGAGGCGTTAGAAGCACTGCTCGGACTTTGTTTTCCAAGGTGTCATCATGTCCCTCCCCACCTGCTTGGTCTGGCTTCTCTTCTTCCTCTTTCCAGACTCGTCCTAAAACTCGTTTTGTTGGAAGGCTACCCGGATCAGCCGTGCCCCGTCCATCCACACTCTGCCAGCTGGGCCGGGGCATGTGCCTTACACACAGGCCTTTCTGGTGACAGGCAGGGATGGGTAACTCCCCAAGGACGAGACCCCCTGTCCTTTTCTGCACCTACACCGCACCTCCACCCCAGCTCTGCTCTCCGAAGGCAGGGGATGGGACAGGAAGCTTGCAACTGAGCCGAGGGCAGTCCCACAGGAAGGCGGGTATCCTAGGAGAGCGCCCGCTGCTGGGGGTAGAGGAGGCTTTCTGCTCCGGGGAAACCTCGGGTTCATCTTGAGTGCCCCTACTCCTGACCCCTCACCTTTACTCCCTACTGTGCTTTGCTTCCCCCCATGACCCAGATCACCCCCATAAAGGCAAGGGAAGCCTGAGGGAGGTTCTATGATCCTGAGCCTTCAGGGGTCAGCATAGAGGATTGGCATCCATCAAAGGAGAACCCCAATTTCTGGAAACCCCCAAGACCCGAAACCCCAGCCCTCCACTTACCAGGCAGCCCTAGGCCCAGCAGGATGCTGTAGTAGATGACAGGAATGACACCAGCCACACACGGGGACCTTGCTGGGATCTCCGGCCAATGGCCTTCCAACGCCTGGCTTGGCCTACTGCCATTGGGTGTGGGCAGCAGGGTCGCTGGTGGCTGGCTGGCTGGGAAGGGTGGAAGGGCTCAGGGTTAGAGCATTTGGTCTCTTCCCGGCCAGACCCGCAGCAGCCCAACCCTGACCCTGACCCCGAGGTCTTTTTTCACCCCTGCTTTGTGCAGACCCCGGATCAGGCCCAGCCAAATGACAATTTCTATTGCCAAGTCCACACCCCAGCCCCTCAGTGGCCTGGCTTCCCCGATGATGGCAGAGAACCCTGGGGGCATTTCTCTTTGCCACGGAGACTATTTCTCGATTGCATTGTTCTCGGTAGGTCTTCAGCCTGGAAAGCGGGGCCTTGAAACAGGCTGCAGGGCACAGTCAGGACGGGAGGGGGCACTGGTGACAGTACAGGTTCCTGAGCCTTGCTCCAGGCAGTCTGCCCAGGGGGTCTGGAGAGGGGCTTGAGCAGCTGTGTTTTTCACAAGCATCCACAGGTGATGCTGACGCCCAGTGACCCACAGCAGCTGCACGGCTCCAATCAACAATCGCCCCTCTTTCCTTGGCTGAAGAGCATCCCTCTTCATAGGTCGGCACTACTGGACCTGGAATGGCCGTGGTTTCCTGATGAGGAAAGAATCCAGAGGGGCCAGGTGACCCGCCCGGATCACACAGCTGGCTTGTGGCCACTCCGGGATGAGAACCAGCTGCATGCTCTGCTTCCTGCCCTCCTCAGCCCACACTTTCGGTCTTTAGGTCCTACATC